CCTTGTAAAACCTAGCCCTTCTGACTGGAGCTCATGCTCTGACTTTTATATGGAAAATGCAAGTAATGTTTACAAAATAGTGTTTTGTTTTGGGAAAGATTATAGGATGTGTTTTTTTTTAAAGTCCTTCTACATTATTACCTTCAAGTATTGGCTTTGCTTAAAGCAACAGAAATCGTTCATTCCAAAACCATTATTTGTACCCCTTGCCCATGAGAGAGTGGTAAGTTCAGAATTTCAGATCTACTTTTCTACCTCATGCCTTTGAAATTAAATTTTTTTTTCTCTCTCAGCTTTCTTATTTTTTCTGTTGATAACTAATAGAAGTACTGACAGAGAAGGTAGGTCATTGCGAGTTATTATGAACCCCTGTTGTCTTGAATTAGTAGGATCTCAGAACTAAAAGGAATCTTGGAAATTATTTTACCAATTCACAAAACCACTTTTAACATTTCTTATGAGTGGTTCTTCATGAAAAGCTAGAGTAGTTCTCTATTGTGTACTGTGGACAGACATACACAGATAAATCTAATGACTCATCTATAATATTTTGCCCATTTTTTGTCTTAGGATACAAAGAGACTAATTAAAATAGCACGGTAAATAAATTGAAACAGAAATTTTAGAGATATTTATTAATTCACTTTAAAATGAATAATAATTAGCCAATTCTCTATATAAATAATTTTATGAAAGATAACTTTTCTAAAACAAAAATTTATTTAGAAGAGTGGCACTGTTTTGCAGATCTCATTAATGTGTGGGTTACTAGAAGTTAACTGGATTCTCATCTGCTTCATTCAGTTTGTTGCCCTATCTTGTATTGATGTGTATGAAGAAATTTCAGCTGCACACAAATATTTAGTTGGAAAAAGGAGTATTTTATTAGCCTTTTCAGATTGTGAATATTCTTTGATACTACATCAAAACTCAAAAAATTGTTGTTTCTTAAATTTTGATTGTAATGTAGAATCTGAAATAATGAGTTGACTTTTTTACTCTGTCACTTCAAAAACATTGGTCTTTCTTGCATTTTGAATGGATTTTTTTTCTATGTTTTTGAAATATGTGTTCGGTGTTGGGAAAATACTGGTTTACTGAGTTTTTCAGAACTTCTAAAAACACATCTTACTTACGTATCAAATCATAATGTATGTTAATATTACCACCAGTCTCATTTGAAAGTCTTTAAAGTATTTGCAAGCTGTTAAACTAATGGTGGTGAATTCAGGTTCTTTCCAGCGTTCTGATTTTTGCTTGAAAGCTTTAATAGTATCAGTTGTTTTCCTTGAAGTGATAGGCTTACTTTGTTCATTTTTGAGAAAATGTCTGTCAAATATCAAGTCTGGGTAACCATAATTTGCCCATAAAAATGGTAACCCAGGGCCGGCCCGGTGGCGCACTGCTACAGTGCACCGCTTGGGAAGCGCGGCAGGCGCTCCCGCCGAGGGTTCGGATCCCACATGCAGACCGGCCGCTCACTGGCTGAGCGAGGCATGGGAGCAACACCGAGGGTTGCGATCCCGTTGCCGGTCCCGGTCCGGTATGGGCGCGACACTGAGGGTTGCGATCCGTTGCCGGTCATGAAAAAAGACAAAAAAAGGAGGGGGAAAAAAAAAATGGTAACTCATTGTCGGGTCTGCCGCCAGCAGGCCCGTACAGCCCTAGCCTCGTTCCTTCTGGTGGGTGAGCAAACGGCCCAGGATTCCTCTTTCCCTCCTGTCCCTTTTGGAAGGAGACGGGGGAAGAGAGCTGTGAAGAGAGGTGAGCACACCGCCGGCCCCCCAAACAGCCCCATTAAAGGACACTCAGATTCGGCGGGGGTTCTGTCGAAGCAGTTCCATTTATTATCACACAAGCACTTGCTTTTATAGGCAAATGGGAAAGGCAGGTTTTTTACATCCTCCAATCAGCTTAAGGGTTCTGTCTCAATGCCTAGCTATTGCAATCACGCAGTGTTCACGAGTGCGGCCAATAAGGGCTAAGGCAAGGTTCCCACAGACACTCCCACCCTACTTCCTCCTGGCGCCATCTTAGGCTGCCACGTTAATCCACTTGTAATGTCACTTAAGGTGGCGTTAGTTTTTAAGGCCCGACAGCCAGTAGAAAAAAGTGGCTAGTTTAGCTTGCAGTTGAAAACAGTTGCACAAGATCTTTTCCTAGAGTCATCCTTGTCCTTTGGAATGCTGCAGAAATACTTTATGTGTATTTCCCATTTTGTCACACAGGATATTAAAAAGACATGTACTCAAGGGTCAAGAATTAATAAAATTTATAATTTTTTACTGCTTCATCAAAAATATTCTTAAGAGAAACTGGCTTTTTTTTTTCTTGCTAATGCATGGTTATGAAGGATACAAAAACTTATAGTTTAGTGCCCTGTCTTGATTTGTGCCAAGTTGCTAACAGTTTTACCCACCAGTGCTTTTGCATCAAAAGTGCAAATGTCAACACAGTGAAAAAGGCAAATAATGTCATTGTGTTTTTATGAAAATAGTTTTGAATTTTCAGACTATGAAAGGGTGAGGACCCACCAGAGGTCTCACGTTTTGAGAACAGCTGGTCTAAAGTTCGGGGGTCAGTAAACTTTTTCTTAAAGGTCCAGATAAATATTTTAGGTTTTGTAGGCCATATGGTTTCTTTGCAACTACTCAACATTGGTATTGCAGTGCAGCCATAGATAATACATTAACAAATTAACATGGCTGTGTTCAAATAATACTTTCTTTACAAAAGCAGGCAACCAGTAAGCCACACTTTGTCCTGCTCTAGGGTATATGCACAAGGTGGCAAATATATTATCGGAAAGGGAGATTGGGAACAGATTATTAAAGACTTCATTTTTATCATTCTTGGTCATTTTCACTTTTTCCTCCAAGCCAGTTTTCTCCAAACATTTGATCCCATATTTTCTTTCAGTAAAAATGTTTACACACATGCCTTCTTTCTATATATTTATTAATTTGTAAATTATACACTTTCACTACTACACTAAAATTTGTTGTAATATATTACCAAAAATTAGAAAAGGATGAGAGAAAGCTTATGCAAGTAATATTTCCAATTTTAAAACATGGTAATGGTACAAAAACTATATTGCTTGGTAAAATCATATTATTTTGTAAAAATGTTGGGTTTTAACACTTTGTGAAATAGTGATTCAAAGTCCGGTTCTAAGTATAAGGGCCTCCATAGATGCAAAAGATATCTAACAAAGATTCAGATGGTTTTAGTAAACTCATGGTGCTATTTTTATTCATCCATTACATGTTTATTGAACGCCTCCTAGGTTCCAGGCACTATCCTAGACCCTGAATAATACAAATCTTTATGTAACATACATTCAATTGGCAAGAGTCATATTAACCTAACAAACAAGTAAATATATGGTAGGTTAGATCTTAAGTGCTATGGAGAAAATAAAGCAGAGTAGGAAGGAAAGTTGAGTACAGTGTATCAGTTATCTATTGCTACAGTAATGTTGTATAACAACTATAAAGCCTCAGAGGCATAAAATAACAAATACTTTTACTTTGTGGGTAGTCAGCTAGACAGCTTTGCCAGTCTTGACTGGGTTCATTCACATTTCTGGGAACCAGCTGACTATCAGCACATCTAGCCTGGCCGTGGTTGGGGTGACTGGGGTTATTTGAAAGACCCTGCTCCACATGTTTCTCATTCCCCAGTAGGCTAGCCCAGACACATCCTCATAGCTGTGGCAGAAGTGCAAAAGCAAGTGAGGGGAAATACGTAGGGCCTGTCTAAGCTCGGAACTGGCAAACTGTTACTTCCATTGCATTCTGTTGGTCAAAGCTAACTTCAAGAGGTAGGGAAATAGATACCACCTTTTAAGTCAGAAGAACTGTGCAGTTACATGAGGTTTAAATTCAGAGAGGCTTGGAAAATAGGCTATTAATATGATTAATCTACCATATGGCAGGTATAGGAGATATTATTACATTGGGTGGTTTGGACATTGAACTGACACTTGAAATAGTGAGGGAGTAAGCCATGCAGTTATCTATGGGAAGAGCATTCCAACCAGAAAGAGTAAGTGCCCAAGAACCTGAAGAAAAAGTATGCTGAAGGAATATCAAGGAAGCCAGTGTGTTTGAGCGGAATGAGCAAGGAAGAGAATAGTAGATTTGCAGTGTGGTTGGGAGTAGTGGCAGACTATCTGTGTTTTCTTGTAGGCCATTATAAGGACTTTGGCTTTTACTGTAAGTGAGATGAGAACCTTTTGGGTTTTATCTAAGGTATGATGTTATCTTTCTTACATTCTGTGTTAACAGGATCACCTTGGCAGCTCTGTGGAGAATAGACTGTGGAGAGATAAGGACAAAGTAGAGAACACTTAGAAAGCTATTCCAATAGTCTAAGCAGGAGCATCTAAAGACAATATGGAGAAAAGGGGTGAATTTGGAAGACAGTTTTGAGGTAGTAACAAGACTTGGTGATAACGAAGGGTGAGGACAAACATAGGCCTGCTAACTTGGACACTAAGCGATAGTGGTGAGATAGTGAGAAGTTAGGTAATTAGTTTTATTTTAGAGGTGTTGAGTTTGAGTTGTCTGGAAGATAGTCTGAAGGAAATATTGAGGTTATAGTAATGTATTTAAAGTTTCAGGTGAATGTGGTGTCAGGGTCTGCCCTACAGTTCTGGAATTTTTTTGTATATTGTTGATCATTGGACTTATGGAAGGTGAGATTTCTGAGATAAAGAATATAAACTGAGAATAACAAAGAGAGGAACATAGAACATTAGGGACGTTTAAGTGTCTGGTTGAGAATGATATGCTCTCAGTGTTGAAGTTAGGAGCAGAACCTGGAGGGTGATATAGAGGCCAAGGAGATTGAGGAGTTTGAAAGAGAATTTGGATTTAAACCAGGATTTGGCAATTAGAAGTCATGGGTTACTTTGTGGAAAGCACTGAGAAATGGATAGGGCAGATTTACATTTTAAAAAAAGGTTCTTTAAAAATGGAAGATGTTGGCATTGTGGCCGTTGCCCGGGGGGAGGTGGTCGCGGCGCCCCGCACTCGGCGGTTGTTAGGGTGCCGCTCGCAGCCGGTCGTTACAGCGAGGCGCTGGTGGCGCTCAGGCTGCACCCAGGGTTGGTGAGCAGCCACCATGTCGATCTTCACCCCCACGAACCAGATCCGCCTCACCAATGTGTCGGTGGTACGCATGAAGCGCGCCGGGAAGCGCTTCGAAATCGCCTGCTACAAAAACAAGGTCGTCGGCTGGTGGAGTGGCGTGGAAAAAGACCTTGATGAAGTTCTACAGACCCACTCAGTGTTTGTAAATGTTTCTAAAGGCCAGGTTGCAAAGAAGGAAGATCTCCTCAGTGCATTTGGAACAGATGACCAAACTGAAATCTGTAAGCAGATTCTAACTAAAGGAGAAGTTCAAGTATCAGATAAAGAAAGGCACACACAGCTGGAGCAGATGTTTAGGGACATTGCAACTATTGTAGCAGACAAATGTGTGAACCCTGAAACAAAGAGACCATACACTGTTATCCTTATCGAGAGAGCAATGAAGGACATCCACTATTCAGTCAAACCCAACAAGAGTACAAAACAGCAGGCTTTGGAAGTGATAAAACAGTTAAAGGAGAAAATGCAGATAGAGCGTGCTCACATGAGGCTTAGGTTCATTCTTCCAGTGAATGAGGGGAAGAAGCTGAAGGAGAAGCTCAAGCCGCTGATCAAGGTTATAGAAAGTGAAGACTACAGTCAACAGTTAGAAATTGTGTGTCTGATTGACCCAGGCTGCTTCAGAGAAATTGATGAGCTAATAAAAAAGGAAACAAAAGGCAAAGGTTCTTTGGAAGTACTCAATTTGAAAGATGTGGAAGAAGGAGATGAGAAATTTGAATGACATTCATCCATCTCTTCAGCTATAAAACACTAAAGCATTTTTGTTTCCAACAGCAGTTTTATTTCTGTGATCTGCCAAATACTTCCTCAAACTATTTGACATCTTCCATCTTTGTGTTAAATATGTACACTAAAAGACTTTCCTACATAAGTATAATAATGTGGGAATGATTTCATTTTAGTTATAAATTGGGGTTTTAGGCAATAATGAAAAACCCACCATACAAAATCCAGAGCAGCATTTTGCTGCTGTCTCACACTGTTATAGCTTTCCAATGCAAAAGTTATTTAAGACGACTTTTGTGGATAAAAAGTTAAGTTTGGGGGCTGGCCAGTTAGCTGAATTGGTTACAGCACAGTGTTATAACATCTAAGTCAAGGGTTCAGATCCCTGTACCAGCCAGCTGCCAAAAAAAAAAAGTTTTATACATTATAGTAGGATTATTGGGGTGTTATATCTGTATGACAAAAAGAGTATTTGCTGAAAAAGAAAACATATAATGTCTTATATCTACTTAAGAAAATTTGTGTGTAGGTGTAACTATCATGTCCCAATGTGAGGCTTGGATGGTGACTTCTTCATTATCTGAAATGTAGATATTATAATGACTGTGCAGGACTTAAAAGTTTCATTGAACATGCTGCCATAAGTTAGATTATTCTTGGTAAAAAATAAAGTCGTTTACTTCTAATTCTTAAAGTTTATAATATATTAATATAGCTAAAATTATATGTAATCAATAAAACCACTCTTATTTTTATTTAAAAAAAAAAGGAAGATGTTAAAGTTTTAGGCAGTGATTAATGGGTGAGAATGGGATTTGTTTGTTTATTTTAAAGCATTGAGAGAATTGCCCTTGTCCATGAAACCGTGTTATATATATATGAGTTGCCCTGAAAGATGAATCCACTGTAGTCATTTTAGGGAGAAGCTGGGAAGAGGCGTGGGGTCCAGTCAAAAAGCTTGTCTGTTGATTTGGTTTATTGTCATTATCTCCTATTCTCTTAATCCTGTATTCCTTCTCCCATTTCTCTACCCTCTATGCTGCCACCCTTGTGCTATCATTTACCTTGTGCTGTCCCTCTAAAGCAAGATAACTGACCATTGCAACCAGAATTGGCTTAAAGCCCAGAGATCATGGAATCAAGGTGATTTAAAAAAACATTACAAATGTTGAGTTGGTGCTAGTTTGTGCTTAATGAACTCTCATACTTCTCACTGCACCCCAGTAAGCAAGGTATTATGTCCATGTTACAGATGAGGAAACAGGTGCCAGAGTTGTCCTTGAGCTTGGTTGGGACATTAAGAGCAGCAGAACCCCAACTAGTCAGTAATACCATATAGAACTTTTCCCTTTTAAGGTGTGTCAGTCTGGGTGGATAGGAATGGTAATCATTAAATGGTAGTGTGTGATATGGCAGAAATCTGTTGATGAAATAAATTGGATTTGACAGAGTAAAGGTACTACATACTTACCTTTTCTCCTTTTTTGATTTCATAGCACTTTGTAGCTATCTCTAATATAATTCATATCATATTACAATTACATCTTTTTCTGTTTCTAGTACTAGGTTGTGAGGTTTTCTGTGGCCAGGACTGGGTCTTACTTTGTCTTTATACTCTATGTGCTTAGCCAGGGTTACGTGATAGGTGCTTTTTAAATCTTATTAAATAAATTAGTCATTGTAATATACTTATAGAAAACACAAATAATCGTATGTATAATGTTATATTCCTTGCCGATATAATAAGCTGCAAGAAATATTACCAGATGCTTTACATTAGATTGTCAGACAAATCTAAGTTCTATTTTTAGAAATGAGAAATTAAACTTGCCCAGGGTCACATAGGTAGAAAGTGGCAGAACTTTTCCATCTATAAAACCTGTGCTCTTTTTTTTTTTTTTTTTTCCTTTTTGTCTTTTTTCGTTACCGGTAGCGGATCGCAACCCTCAGTGTCGCGCCCGGCCACGGGATCGCAGCCCTCGGTGTTGCTCCCGCCCCTCGCTCAGCCAGTGAGCGGCCGGTCTGTATGTGGGATCTGAACCCTCGGCGGGAGCGCCACCGCACTTCCCAAGCGGCGCACTGTAGCAGTGCGCCACCGGGCTGGCCCTAAAACCTGTGCTCTTAACTGTGGTCAGTTCTTCATATCCGCAGATTCAACTAACCACAGGTCAAAAATATTTGAGGGAAAAAAAAACAACAATAAAAAGTAACAATACAACAATGAAAATACTACATATAACAAATATTGTATAACAACTATTTACATAGCATTTACTCTATATTAGGTATTATAAGTAATTTAGAGGTGATTTAAAGTATATGGGAGGATGTGCCTAGGTTATATGCATATATGCCATTATACTTGTATATAAGGGACTCAAACATCCATGGATTTTGGTATGTAGGGAAGAGGTCCTGGAACCAATCCACAGTGGATGCTGAGGAACATCTGTATTATGTTCTGCTTCCTTTTTCAGTATAGTCATTTTGGTCACCAGCAGCATGATCATGCATTTGTAATTTGAGAGAGAGATTGACAGAACATTTGAATTTAATTAGTGGTTGCCTGGGTTGCCTGACCCCAGATAATTTGTTAACATTTCTTTTGGCTCTCAATTGTTTGTCAGAATCTTTTGCCTTAAATATATTGTGTATGGATAGAATATGTTAATGTCCCCTGTTTGTTACCATGGAATTTTTTCAAAATGTTTCATGTGAACCATTTTTAATCAAGGGAATGAGGTGGCTTCATCTCTTCAATAATTTCTGTTCATATGCCTTTAGTACTCTATTAGTTAATGTGTATTTTGCTAAATAACATGGCTGGCCACTTCATATGGTTTAACAGTCTGTTTTATCAATGTAACAACTTCATTGAAACATGAAACTCTATATTATTGCTGTATATTTTTTTTAAATTTTCATTTTGTCAGTATACAATGTAGTTGATTATTATGTCCCATCACCGAAACCTCCCTCCCTCCTCCCTCTCCCCCCTCCCACCCAAGCGTGTCCCCTCCATTTGCTTGTTGTAAGAACTTCAAAAAAAAATTGTGGTTGTTATATCTTCCTCCCCCCCCCCCGTTCTTTGTTTTTTTTTTTTTTTTTTTTTTGTGTGTGTGTGTGTGTGTGTGTGTGTGTGTG